TTCTTTTTTCAGTAGGGTCTCCCTTTGTAGTTCAGGCTGGCCCTCACTATGCAATGCAGGCTGGCCTCAAACTTGTGGCGATCCTCTTGCCTCAGCCTCCCGAGTATTGGGATTATAAGACTGCACCACAACTCCTGGCTCACCTTTTTACTTTCTTAATTCTGGGTTTCTTTTTCTATCTTCTATGAATTTTATAAGAAAAAAGTAATAGTACATTCAATATACAGTATATTGAAGTAGACTGTAACATTTTATAGAATACTAGTTGTAAATATTTTTAATACAAGATAGTGAAATATGTAATAATGAAATTTGGCAGAGTAAGGTGCTAAGTGTACCTGGTGTTATAAAGCACTGGTGAGTGACCAAAGGAAGTTCCTGCTGGAAAGCTTTTCTCTGTTGAATCACAGGCCTGGTATATTGGTTGGGCAGGTGATATTAGGAAGAATTATGTGGTTGAAAGAACAGGATGTAAGAAAGTCTGACTGTCTTTAGGTCCTTCATTTACTCTTCTTTTGGTTCTGTTTTTGGTTCTTGGGAGTGAACCCAGGACCTGGAGTGTGCTGTCCCGACCCTCACACCTGTCATTTATTAAAGTTATCAGTTATGCCCTTCAACCTCAGTCTCTTTGCTATGAAACAGCAATAGCAGAATTGCATGGAAACTGAAATAACATGATGAACATGAAATGTTCAGCATGCTTTAAAAAGCAGTGCAAGCGTATGATACCATCATTGATACTGTCCTCCTCATCTCTCTGTCAGGCAAGATGTGGTCAGTAGCAAGGGTCACCCTCCATATAAGGTTTTCATATACATTTACTTCTCAAATTCCCTCCTCCCCACTGCTGGCTACATTTCATCTTTGCCCAGCGTGAGAGTCCTTCCAATAAGAAAGCAGGACCCAGCTCACAGTTGCATGTTTCAGAACCTGTGTACTATGGGGTAGTGCTTTGTGCATTATTACGAAGATAAGTTTAGAAAGGAAAATGAAGGCACTCACAGAAAGATATTAACCATATGTGAATGATGTTGTATTGGGAATTTCTGTCATATTTCTCTTTCCTTGCTTTGGCTATCGGCATGTGGCTTACTTGTAGAAGAATTGGTATTTGCTGATTCCCAGACACTTGTGAATAGAAATATTTCTTAAAAGTATGGAGAAGATCATTTTCCCTGCCCATATTGGCACAGGAATGTCAGAGAAATCCAAAGATGTTCTAAGTCTTGCTAGTTATTGTGCATAACGAGTTTGCCCCAAAGATTCCAAAAGTCAGTAGAAATGGAAAAGAAGAAAATTTAACACAGAAAGTTGGAATGACTGATACAGTATATAAAGTGAGCCTTCCCTGCTCATGAAGAAGTTTCTCAAGTTTCCATGCTGAATTTTCCTTTGCCTCCAAATAAACTGAGTAATGATTTGTATTTTGCAACAGTGTGAAAGAGTATCTTTCAGAGCACCAAGAATATTGCCTTCATTTAAAGATGAATTCTAGATCTAATTGTTTTATGAAGTAAAATATAAACATTCAGTTTTAGGTATATTAAGCTTGATGAAATTTGTTTTATAGTTTTTTGTTCTTTCCTTTTCCATTAGGTTCTTGTTCATTCTCTTAGGCCCTAAGGGGAAAGCCAAGTCCTACCATGAGATCGGCAGAGCCATTGCTACCTTGATGTCTGATGAGGTAGGGAGTGGGAAGGTGGGGCTTTCTTTGAGAGTCCCCCTGTGCTGGTTTCCAGTTGGGGTTGGTGTACCCGCAAATATGCAATCACGGTTCACTCATTAGAATGGTGCAGTTGCCAGGCTTTTTCATGATATGAAGTACAGTCATTAGTGGAAATGCATTTATACAGCTCATGGAACAGAGTTTTCAAAAGTAATGCATGCATAATGCATAATGCATTAGATTTTAACTCAGTGTAGGAAGAAACACATAGACATGTTTTCTTTTCCTTTTTCACCTGTGGACCTGAGCATTGAAACAAGGGAAAATATTCTATCACTGAGATATCCCCAGTCTTTTAAGTTTTCTAAACATTTAAAATTCTTTTCAAAACTTAAAATAGTTTTAGTTGACATAATCTCTTTGCAAGTTGAAGTCTGATATTCCAGTACATGCATGCAGTTTGTGATGATCTGAAGCACAGTGGGATAAATAAGGTTGAAATCATTGTACGTTTTACGAGGAGTTAGAGTATCCCCAGCACACACACACATTTGAGGAGATGAGTGTGCGTTTACCTTGATCAGATCATCATGTATTTTCAATTCACAAAACTGATGTATGTTAGATATTCTTTAAAAAGTTCAAGATCATTGTGTTAACTTTGTCTCTTAAAGTGTTTAAGATATTAATTCTTAGAATTGAAATGTTTATATAGTATATAATTTTGGAAATTATGTTTATATAATAATGCATAAATAAATGGATAGCATATTGTTTTCGTCATTACAGAGCATATCTTCTTATGGTTCTCCTGTTTTGTGGGGAGATATGATAAATACCTAAAGTGTTTCAACAACTGTTACTGCAGAGTGTCTAGTACTTTGGAATCATGGTCTCTTGTAACAGCTGGGATGTTGCTATATGCATTTTAGGTTTAATAAAACTCTGAACTTGACTCATGGTAGGAGAAATGTTGTTAGAGTATAGGATCATTAATTGCTGCTTTTGTGTATTTCCAACTTTCTATATTTGGAAGTGTTTTGCTTTTCCATCATTGCTTGATTTGCTGGCTTTCCCACATGCTAGGTGGAGAAGCGGCACTTTTCTCTGTAAGGGCTTTGTGTGATGATAGTGCAGGTGGTTGCTTTCTTCTGGGTTTGAGAGCTATGTAGTATAGTTTTGCTGTTATTTTTCCTTTCAGGGAACACTGTGCCATGGGCATAGTGAATTCATTTATTTTTTGCATGTCTATAGTGCCTTTTAACATTTTTTTCTTAAGGTGCATTAACTAGGAATGCTTTAGGTTGCAACTTATAGGCATATAGTGGCTTAAAACTTTGGCTTTTAGTTTTCTCATGTAACAAAAAGTCAGGAGGTAGCTAGTTGCTGAGGTTGATGTAACTTAGCTGCTGAAAGATCAGCTGAGAGCTAAGGTTCTTCTTAAGACGGCATGGCATTTCATCCCATCAGTGCTGCACAGCATATGTCCTCAGCTCTTCATTTCATCTCCATTCAACATGGGAGACAAGGGTAGGTTGACACCAGGAGTGGTGCCTCTTTCTTTTTCTAAAACTTTCCCAAACAGCCTTTCACCTGTCTTGCAGTGAAATGGCTTGTCAGCCTTTCTCTGCAGGACTGGCTGGGAAAGACAGTGACTGTCAGCCTCTGAGAGGGATTGTAAGAGAAGATGGAATCAAAGCTGGTGGTGTCTGCTGCACAGGATAGGCTGGCACCTTTTGTTGCCCTCTGCCAAAGCCGCAGTCACCAAGCATTAAATTGTTATTTGATAGCTTTTTGAAAAATGCCTTTCTTGAAGAAATTGAGTAGAAATCTTTTCAAGTAGGTAAGGGTATGGAACAGGGGGAATCTCTTCTGGGGCTAAATAATTTGACTTTTGAAGTATGAAAATTTGGGTTATGTGTAAAGAACTTTCAGATCTTGGTTAGAAGAATGGAACAGTTGACAAAAGATTAGTGTACCTTTTGGAAATTCCTTCTTTGGAGGTTGCTTAGGATAGATTAACTTTTATCTTGCTAAAGAGAGACAAATGATCACATAGATAGATTCTTTTTCTTTGAGGGTTGCTGATATAACTAAAAAAAATTTTTTAGTAGCTCACATTATTTATGTGCTTGAGAACCGAAGTATTTGAATCTTAACCTTAATACGCAGCTTGAACTTTTCTTTCTTGAGTTATCAGTGGTTGTTTGCCCCAGTAGTTTTGTGTTGGGGGATGACTCGGTTGTATTTCCCCACCCTGTTTTCATCTGACTCCATCAGGAGTAGCATTGAGGGAGTGTTTTCTATAGTAGCATTGAGGGAGTGTTTTCTCAATTTCTATATTGAGAGGGAAAACCCATTTAAAATATCTATTTCCTCCTCCTCACCGGTATCCTTGAGATCAATGTGTGAATCCATGAAATAGCCTGGGAGTATAGCTCAGTGGTAGAGCACTTGCCTAGCTTGCACACAGCACCACTCTTTAGCACCACAAGAAAATAAAAATTACAAATGAATAAGTATTTTGGTTCAAGCTGAACAGCACATAATATAGGAACAGGATGACAGTCACGTCCGTGCGCTGTGGACTGTGCGTGTCAGCTTGATGTGGTGCGAGGCAAGGCAACACTTCCCTTGTGGGATTGACACACCCTTCTCCGTAGGTTTTCCATGACATTGCTTATAAAGCAAAGGACAGGCAGGACTTGATTGCTGGGATTGATGAGTTTCTGGACGAAGTCATTGTTCTTCCCCCTGGGGAGTGGGACCCAGCCATCCGGATAGAGCCTCCTAAGAGCCTTCCCTCCTCTGACAAAAGGTAAGTTGTAGGCAGCTGGGTGCCTTAAGGTGCCAGGGAACCCCTGGGGCTGCATTTGAATCTGGGGAGGAAACTGGGGTTAAGCTGCTGCCCTGATGTTCTGAGGTCCCCATGGATGGATTGCTTCCTGGGAACCATTTACAGGTCATGGTTTCACAGTTTCTTGACACTGTGAAATAAACGTTTAATGTTTTGATTTTTCTTCACTGATTACAAATTAGAGAGCTCAGATTCTGATGTTTGCATGTAAGACAGACATCTGTGAGGGTGTGTGGGGGGCTTCCTGTACCTGTGCAAATACCAGTTTATTCAAGATAAGTATGTAAAGATACAAGATATTGAGAAATCGGATGAGGTAGTTGAGGAGAAACCATTTCCTTGAAATCTCTTGTTGCTGAGGTGAAAATTTCCCTCTTACATACTTAATTCAACTGGTCTTGTCATCTGCTCCTTGATCTCGGCTCCAAATATGCCACTTTCAGAATTGTCTGCTGGGGTAGCAGGAAAGCTAGTGACCCGTCCACCAGGAGGCTTCATGGTGCCTTCCCATAGCCAGCCCATGAGGCTGCTGGGAAGCAGAGGAGCCAAGTGAAACAATGTCCACTCAGGCCCTGCTGTCTTCCTCAGAAAGAACATGTACTCCGGTGGGGACAACGTTCAGATGAATGGGGACACGCCCCGCGACGGTGGACACGGAGGAGGGGGCCACGGGGACAGCGAGGAGCTGCAGCGGACTGGACGGTAACTGGCGGATCCTTTTGCCATTCACAAGAAGGTTTTCTTTAGATCTAAATTTCCTTTCTAAGTTTACCTTCCTTATTTTATTCCTTTGTTCAGGCAACAGATGTTTATAGTGTACCTGTTTGTCATGGGGACTTGGGATAGCAGTGAATCAAAAGTGATGATTGTGGGAAAAACTAGAGTAGAACTAGGGGCCCTCGCCACGGGAGTCTGACGCTGTAAGTTCAGGTGGGGTGGTGAGAGGAGGCCTAACAGGATGGCGACCTCAGAGGAAGGTGCTGGAGGGTGGAAGGTGATCTGTGCAGGAGCGGGTATGGAGGGCACTGCACAGCATACCTGCGGGCTAGCAGCAGGCAGTGTGGTGGATGGGGGACGGGGGTGTCAGGGAGATAGTCACACTGGCGGAGGTGAGCGTGCAGGGCTGAGGCTGACTGGTGACAATGACCTGTCCCACACAGCTTCCCCTTCAACCCTGTACTCCAGAGTGAGAAGGTAGTAGAGGGTGAGAGCAGTTCTCAGCAGAAGGATATAAAAATATCCTTCCCCTGCTGTGGAAATCCAGGCATCCTGGGAGGCTGCAGCTCCTTTCCTTCTTGATTCTCCTCTTTCAGCTTCTCCCTGTCACTTTGGTTCAAGTAAAGTTTTAGGTAGGATACTGAAGATAAGACTCTTTGAAGAAACATACTGGGATTTTAAAAAATCCAATCAGTGTATCATTTTACTATGTGGATTAAGTCTAAAAGGATGAAATTATTTCCTCTCTTACTGACCCACACGGATTTCTCTCTCAAATTAAGAGGAAAATGTTTTTTTTTTCTTTATTTTTAGAGGATAAAAAATACAAAACTTTCTCCCCACCTGCCCCCTCTCCTGATGACACTCACTTCTGAACGGTGGGTATGTAGTCTCAGAATTGTGTTGCCAGGCGATTTCATCATGGTGCACATACCACAGAGTGCACTGAGACAGACTGGAGTGGTGTGAGCTTGTCCCTTTATGGGACCTCTCAGTGCAATCAGAAGTCAAGTTTAGAAACAGAATGTGTGAGGCTGGTGCTATTGTAACATAGAGTCTCACGATGCCCTTCTGTAAGTAGGAATACACTCTGCAGTACAGATAAAGGTGACCCTCTGCATCACCCTTGTCCTGGAGAGGGTGTTCTGAGCAGGAGCCATGGAATATACGGGAAGGATGAGCTGTAAGGTTTGCTTGGAGGGACACAGGCTGCTACAGCAGCCAGCTCACCTGCCCACCTGCTGAGGGCTCGGCCACCCTCCTCCCATCCTGCATCTGCATGCCTGCCTCCCTGCGCTCCTGGAGGCCTCTACCCCAGAGTCATCTTCTAAGGGGCCTACTCTGCTACCACATCTGAAACTCCAAATATCTCATCCCCATTTAATTTTGTCCTGATTTTGGTGCTATGCATTTACTTATTTAACTTGTCTGTTAGCTTTCCCATGTCCCCTGAAAGCAAACTCTGCAGGTGCAAGGCTTTTGGTCCAGTATGCTCACTGTTGTATCTCTGGAACCAGAACAGTGCCACAGTGTGGGTCTGTCAGAGATTCCAGTGAACATTTATAGGATGGATAGATGAATGGATGGACGAATGAGGTAGAAAGGGCGTTGTACCAGAATTACGAAGTGCCTTGTATGATATGTTCACATATTGAGATGTTTTCCATTAGGTAATGAAAAATTTTGGTTTATCCTCACAGTTTTCCTCTCATCTAAAGACAGACCGGATGATCCCTAGGGAATATGACACCTATTTGGTGATTGAAAAAGAGAGAGAAGAAAATTGTTTCCTGTGCAGTTTTCTGGTGTCATCCTAAGTGGTTAAATTGTATCTTGTCATTGTCTCAAGTGTTATAAGTACAAATTATTTGTGGTTTGGCGAATTATCTCGATGTATTTGATAGTCACTTATTTTATCTTTGTTCACATGTTTGTTCTCTCCCTGTCCAGGTTCTGTGGTGGATTAATTAAGGACATAAAGAGGAAAGCACCATTTTTTGCCAGTGATTTTTATGATGCTTTAAATATTCAGGCTCTTTCAGCGATTCTCTTCATCTATCTGGCGACTGTGACTAACGCCATCACTTTCGGAGGGCTGCTTGGGGATGCCACTGACAACATGCAGGTGGGTCTGCTGGGAAGACACAAATAGCACAGCGCAGATTGCCGCCCTCAGCCCTGCAGCTCCATTGGGAGCAGATGGCCTTTCAGTTACTCAGCGTGATTTTCTTTCTTTTGGTGGATGCTGCATTTTACTTTGCTTCTGGCTTGGCACTGTATTTCTAGCATGTTAGTAATTACAGAAATAGCTCGATGGAATCTGGCTTGAGTCACAAGTGGGAAAAAGAAGGGAAGGAAATGAGGATCCAGAATGCTATTTGGGCAAAAGCATATCAGCTGCTTTACTTTGGTGCAGTGCACAAAGGATAGATCCTGCTACCCTGAAAGTACAGGCTCAATCGCAATCTGGGAATACACACATGAGTACCTTCCTTACTCTTTGTTTTTATGTGAGCAAAGAGAGTCATCAGACAATACAATAATTTGATCCCAGTAGAATTCAGTGTAATAGATACAGCCTGGGAGCGGTTTCCTCTCTACTTGGACCTGTCTCTCATGAAAGATTCTGCCATGGCTAATTTGGAACCATTAATTGTAACCGCAGTTTGATGGTTACTTGGAAGGTAGTGGTTGCCTTCCTTTGGCATGAATAATAGGTACAGTTTTAGTGAAAGTAAGGATGTTTTAAATTCTAATCAATCAGAACAATATTTATAAAACTACATTAAATTAGTCTTTAAAAAAATAGACATTGGACTATAGGGGCTAAGCTCAATTTAAGCCCTTTTTAAATTGTCTCCTTCCACTTTCCTATATATTAGTGTTTAACCAAATGTGACATTTATAAATGCTACCAGTTTTTTTTAATGCAACTAATTTTAAAAATTATTTTTCTTTTATTCCTCCTTCCTTACCATCTAGATTTCTTCCTGAATGAAAAAGAAGATGGGGGCTATCTATACATTTATGTTGTCCCAAATACAAAGGAAGAAATTACTTTAAGCAATTACTGCATTTCAGTTTAAAATGCCTTGTGTATGAGCTTTGCTGCATAACCTGTTGTCTTCAAACTTAGAGCTCGAGGCAGCTGTTTTTTGTCATCTTTCAGGTGTCATGTGGCTAATGGGTTCAGCTCAGTGGTTCTTTCTTTGGTCCCTCATATGCTTCACAGTCAAATGGCCTTAGAGCTACTTGTTGCCTGGTGGCTTTTGGCTTGCATATGTGTCCCTGGTCTGGGAAGTCTGACACCTGGGGTCTGGGGACTCTCCACACAGCTTCCCACATGGATGGCCTGGGTTTCCTTGGGGACAGTGACAACTCCCCAGAACTCATACTTCTCTGAAAGAGGAACTTGCTATGCATCTCTGCTTGCACTCATGTGAATGTCCCCAATATTGCTTCACTCTCTGATTTTCAAAGAGAGGCTAGAAATTCAAATTCTCAGTGAAATCTTGTGAATTTTAAATATTGACAACAAGTAATGTTTTGAAAATAATGCTGTGATGCCCAAAACGCATGTATGTCTGAGAGACATACAGCTGGTCCATGAGAGACCAGCAGCACAGGTTCTGGAGACCCAGCACATGGGTGCAGAGATGAGGTACAGAGAGAGACACCTCCAGCCCCTCTCTTTTCCTGCTCATATGACTTGTCCTGTAATGTCATTAGTACATTTCAGAAGCTCTGATCCACACCCATGTTGGGCAGGTCTTCTTCATCTGGATGGCCGTATAATAATGATCACTAACACAGATCGTTCAAGAAAACAACAGTTTGTAATAACTAAAACTTGGAAACAGCCCATTTGCCCATCAGTTGGAAACTGGATAAAGATGTGATTTTTCTATAAAATGGAATATTACTCAGCCATAAAGAATGAGAAATTAGATTCATTTATAGGAAAACGGACACATATTGAGGATATACTCCTAAGTGAAATAAATGTCACCTGTGTAAATATGGAATAGTTTCTCTGGTGTGATTAAACTATAATAATACATAAGATCCTAATGATATAATGGACAATGTGAAATAGGAAGAAAGGGGCTAAAGGTGTAGGGAAAGTGGGAAGGGTAGCAGAAGGGGAATAAGGGAAAAGAAAAAAATGTGAGAAAATGAAACAATGGAATTAAAGTGTTTCTAAAGGGGGAGGAGAGGAGAGGGTGAAGGGAGAGCAGGGATGATGGGAAAAAATGAGAACCAAGACCTGTCATGTAAAGGTACAAGATCCCAATAATGAATGTAACTGTACTGTATACCTAAAATATACCAACAAACTAAAAAAAAAAAAAAAAAAAAAAAAAGGAAAACAAGCAAGCAAGCACCCCAGGCCAGCATGCAGAAGATGACACAGGCAGCCACCTATTAGAAGGCAAAAATCCATGATTTTGAGAGGGTGGTAAGAACAAAGCTATATTCTATCAGAATGTAGAGACCTTCTTGTGCAATGATTTTTAACATTTTTCAGGGATGTCTTTACAGAGGTGAGGATATTGTGGTGTTCTCCTGTGTGTAAGCTTGCTCCCTTTTTTAGCTGAATTGTGATACTTGCAGCCTCCTAAGACTGGGTTTTGGAATGTAGCATCTGAGACGGGGAGCAGTGTGCTGGAATCTGCTCTGATCTCTGTCCCGGAATCAGTTCCCATCTGACTGGGTCTTAGAAAAAGCTTTTGCTGTGTATATGTAGGCAATGAGCTTTTGCCTCTGAGATGCTTGACCTGGGAACAGCTGTGCGAAGGGGATTAGCTATTTTTTGGTTTTGAAGATTTCAGAAGGAACATAAATAGTTTGGAGCATTAATGGTTTGGTCCATAAATGGTTCGGACATTAAGTAGTGCACCAAATAACCATTTTCTGGATATTACTCTTGGGAGTTGACAACTGAAAGAAATGCAAACCTATGATAATATTTTCCAGCCATAATTTATTTTATTAATAGATTTTGCCATTGATAATTTTGTTGAAACTATGATTGTTTTAAAGTGTTTCTTTTTTTGTGAATGAAAATACTGAAGAACATTTTTTTCTTCCACATCAGAAGCCTTTTCATTCAGAATTATCTTACTTACGTTCTTCTTGACTGTGAGGTGGTTCTTCTAGCGGTGGCAGGAGCACTGGAAAAGAAGGATAAAAGAAGAATGATTGTTAGCACAATTTTGTAGAACAGAAATTCAACGACTAGTTTTATTGCAGTAGTTTAATTTGTTGAGGAGTATCTCCTGATCAAAAAGCTGTGCATTTTACTGTACAGAAGTTTTCATGCCAAGGCAGTTGAGGTCATCCGGACTTCGCTTCAGGACAATAGAGTATTTTGTGCTGAGGCCTAGGTCATTTCACAGGTCTCTGGAAGAGGTTAATTTGTACCTTTGCAGATGTTTATGGAGCATCTTCTGTGCTGTAAGCATTGTTTTAAATGCTAAGTGTACATAGATAGGTGAGCAGAGTAGATAAGAGTCCTGTTGTAGTGTTTCTATGGTTTAGGATGAAGGTGATTTTTTATACCCCCCCCCCATACTAGTAGGTGTAGTGGGTCTATTTAGGGGTGATTTCATTTGGCTTTCTGTACAATAGACTAAGGCTAAGCAGAGAAGCATTGGCAAAGTTTGAAATATTCTTCAGCTACATCACATGCCTTCAGAAATGAGGCAGTGGGTTATCTGCTCAGCACAGGCAGCTCCAGTGAATCAACTGAGAAGAGTGTCCTTGCTTTTAAAGGCAGACGGCTAAGTGATGGTTCACATAAGGCCTTATTGTCAGGCTACAAATAGACATGGGTGCTGGGTGGAAACATGTTGTGCAAACACAGATGAGTCACTGCACGACTGTTGTCTAAGCAAACTTTTCTGCCAGCTTCTGTTCAGGAGGTCTTGCCTGCTTGAAGATAGGAATTTTTATTTAAGAATTTGTTTTGGAGCTAATGGCTAATGAGATGCACATCATTAGAAGCAGGTGATCCTGGGAATTATGTAGAAACTATGTGCGAAATAAAATAGTTGAGGCTTTGATGTCTCTATAAAGTGTAATGAAATTATAATGCCAACATAAACACCTGCATGAATCCCTCACTCCAGTGTGTGTATTTTGTCCATCAGGTAGCTCTGAGAGGACCGTGGGGACTTCCTGGCTGAACATTCACAAATTTCTTGCTAAGTGTGAGCAATTATAGTTGTGTTTGGGCTTGTAGAAGTAATGAGCCTCTCTGCCAGGAGTCAACTAAGATATAACCCCCGCTGTGTCTACTCCCTCTTCTTAGAGCTTAGCAATAGGCATCTAGTGCATAAGCTTTCTGAAGTCCAGGAATAGTGCAACACCCTTATCTGTTTCAACAAATAGCACCAACACTGCTCTGGTCTTCTTGCTGTAGTGTCAAGGAATCAAGCTCTGGAGCTCCCCATTCCAATATCACGTCTCTTCTACAACTAAACTCTCTATAGCCATACATGGCATCACATTACAGTGTATTTATATTCTTGGTTGCCAAGCAAGTATACTGCTCTGTTCATTTAGATGTTTCTCATTAAATTGTAACGTGTTGAGGTGTGAATATATTCTACCTGGATTTCTTTACAGTTATGAGTCTTTCATTCAAAATACTACCTGAGCAGAACCTTGAATCAAATGGAAACAACACATATTTACGGATTGATGAGTCTCTGGGACTGAACTGGCATCAGAGATACTTTTGGGTACTCTGTGGCAGGTCATGTTATTTCAAAATCATTCTTCTTGGCCTTTTAGAATATAGAAAAGCATTTTAATTTAAATCCACGTTTGATTGTGAATGACTAAGCACAGTCTAGAGTGAAGACTGAGTGGAGAAAGTAATTTTAATTTTTTCCAGGAGTAAATATAATCCTATTTTCACAAAGCTTTTAGCAAAAGGATGCGGTAAGATTTTTAGAATTCTGTGAATTTTTTGATATTTATGGAGCCCAACAGAGCACATTTTAAGGGAACTTGTCTCATTATAAGGAACATTTATAGCTGGCATCTCCAAATTTGAGGCTTTATTTTAACATACTGCTGTGTTGAGAATTTTTAATCAATCTGCTTGAGTTGAAAATG